TTATTGTTATTGTTATTATTATTATTATTATTATTATTATTATTTGTTTACTTCCAAGTGGCATTGTAATGCAAATATTTTGGTTACAATCAGCAGGTGTCCGAGAATTCTTTGGGCAACAACCTGAAGCTACTGCATTGTTACATGTGGCCAGCGGTCCTTCCGTCACGAGAAGAAGCTTCACAAGTTTGCATTCATTTCTTTTTTCAAAAAAACAAAAAAAGGAAAGAATCTGTTTCAATAGATCTCATTCACGATAACCGCCATGTTAGTTTTCATTTCGGTATCAGGTAAACTTGACTCATGATTTCGTAGCCTACGATGAAGCAGGAAGTGTCACAAAATTCTCCGATATAGGGTGCTTACCATTTGTCAGAACGAACTCGTTGGGATGACCGTTGAATAATGGTAAGGGTTTTTCCAAAATCAACAAACCAACCGAAGGAGATGGCGCTTACCATTTGCAATTTGATTTCCCGTAATTGTTTTCGGCTGATGAGAGACTGGAAACTGGAAAATTTGCCAAATGGTAAGGAAATTTCCGTTGAATTCTGTTCCGAACGGAAAAAGAGGACTTCCTCTGGAGCTAGTCTACAATTTCCGAACGGAAAATTACTGTTCCATTTGACTTTCAACCGAAATTTCCGGATTTTTTCGCTAAATGGTAAGCACCCATAGACTCGGCGGCGCTGTAGCTGTCTGTGATACAGTCTAGGGATTTTCGGGGCAAATAAGTTGAAATCGGCAAATTTCAATCGGTTTCCTATTATATTTCTGATAAATTTTACGTAGCCTGATGCCATACTTTTAGGACACTACGGGTACAAAAAACTCTAAATTTTTAGGCAGTCAGTTTGGGTCTACCACTAGTTCCAAAGTTGAAAAGTGATGATATCAATTCACTTTTCTAAAGCAGTCTTGTTTGTTTCATTATCGGGACGAGCCAATCTTCTGAAAACTGTCTCATTTGCAATGGGTACCCCATGGCAGACTCTGGCATGGTTAATTAATTTACATAATGAAAAACCATCGTGACAGCTGTTGTGATAAAGATCTATTATGTTTAGCGGGAAGTTGTGCCAATCCTTATAGTCCTGTAAAAAAATAAAAAAATAAAACTGGTTGTAAATTGTTAGAGATGCGGGTACTTAAAACAACAGCTTGTGCTGGCGCGAGGTAGCCATTTGGGCCATCATTTGCATGGCCATTTATTGAACATTTTATATGGCACTTCTCAGCGTACTCCGTTTCCTTCTAGACTCCTCAAAGCCCTCAATTTTCTCGTATTTTTATCCGATCGCTGAACACGCGGATAGAATCGCGAGAGAACTGGACGCCAACGCAAAACGGAAGACTTGACTGGGTAGTGGGTGGGGACCGAGAAAAACAGAGGGGCTGTAGACATCTTTGGAAAAAGGGAATTCCCCGTTTCTCCAGTAGCGGAAAATTCCCAATGGTTGAAAGGCGAAACAAGTGTCATCACCTTGACAACGGCTGATCATGATTGCGTCCAGGCGCGTTTTGCAGCTCGCAGCAGTTGTCATCAATAACACGTGCTGTGATTCATAATGGAGTGGTTGTTTTTTAAAAAATACTGTACAATCCCGTTCAAGAAATTTCAACGTTTCTTCGCTCAAAAATGAACAGATAGTGGGCTGCTGTTCATCTTCTTCGGTCTAAAGAAGTTGTTACAATTTTGAAGACAAGCAATAGACTGCAAGGCTGATACTACGTGAAAAACGTTTCGAGAGACCAACATGACAAGAACCGATAAAGTAGGATCGCAACAGTGGACAGCTGTTTCGCCCTTCTTGGGGCTCGTAAGCACTGTGTAGCGAAGATATGTAACGCCAGCCCAAAAGCCAACGCACATAAATTGTAAAATGACCCGTG